CTCTAAATGTATCAATTTTATAAAACTGTTGTAAAATAAACATACGCGTAACAGCATCTGGTTCTTAGTGATGATAGAAAGGACAAAATGAACAACGCTGATTGGAAAGGCCCAACGCGTGGGGTTAACCAATTAGGGTTGTTCAAGAATTTTACCAGGGCAAACGGCGAAGGAAAAACGAAGACTCAGTCACTGTACCGCGACTCGTCAAGAGACAAAGTCCGCCAACGAATAAAGAAGTTTTCCACCGCACACAAGTGTACAAGTCCTTTCGAATCATCCTACCCAAAAGTCTTTTCCGTACTTCAACCTAAACCAATGCAGTGTCTCAAAATCAGTGACAGTACCAAATTGCAGGTTCGAAATACACAGCGTTCGTACTCAAGCACATAATATACAACGCGATTCCATTTCACAAGAATAACTACGATAAATACTGTCCGATATAAATCATAGACCTGTTTAAGGGTCTAATCATAGACCCTTTCGTTTCAGCACGTCCGATGTCGAGTGTGGCTCGACTCGTCTTATCTTCTAGCACGTCCGATGTCGAGTGTGGCTCGATATCGCTTTGTTTTCTTTCGCGTCCTGTATCAAATTTCACCGGTATTTAAGTTTCACTATATGTCAATTGTAGACTAAATACGATAAGATAAGAGCTACGGGAGAGAAAATCTAAAATAAGCCATGCATCTTGAACTGTACGTCTTGGTTTTAGTCTTTCCAAACAGCCCGTGGTGTACAAAATAACTCTTTTTGGTAAAGAATATGGCTAATCGACAGGGTCGGCAACGTACAACAGTGCGTAATACTGTATTTGAAAGTGATGATAGTGTTTGTTTGAGCGACATAGAAGAAGAATTTCAGAGAACATGTGCATCTGGAATCGAAAGTAGTGAAGATTCAGAGAATGTAGTTACATTCAGAAAGAGCAGACGTATAAACAGAATTTGTGATACATCAGAGAGCAATAATGAAATGGACCAAAACAGCGATTGGCAAAATGTGACTGAAAACGACACTTATTCCGGTTATATCGCATTTTCTACTGGAGGCAAGGTACAAGGGCCCCAAGTTTCGACTGATTGCATCACACCTCTGCAGTTTTTCTCATTATCTTTTACGGATGAGCTTATTAGCAAAATAACGACAGAAACAAATTTATATGCTAAACAAATAATTAGCGGCCGTGCAGTCTCTATGCATTCATTGTGGCATAATTGGTATGAAGTTACTGCTGTTGAAATGAGAGCATTTCTTGGTGTAATTATCAATATGGGATTGATGCCTGTTCATGATATCAAAGATTATTGAAGTAAAAAATTTAACGCATACATTCCGTTTTATAATAACATTTTTAAACGCCAACGATTTCTACAAATATTTTGGGCATTGCATTTAGAAACCACGCCACAAACGGGCAATAAGGAAAGAATTTCTGTGGATGAAGTTTCCCATTTACATAACTATTTGGACAAAAAATTCAGACAACATTTCGTACCAGCACAGAATATTGCTGTAGATGAATTTACAGTTGGATTCAAAGGAAGAGTTTCTTTCAAAACGTACAACCCCAAAAAACCAAACAAATGGGGACTTCGTCTATATGTATTAGCAGACTCATTGTCTGGTTATGTATACACATTTTTACCATATTTTGGAAAACAATACCTGGAGCTAAAGGATACCATATCTATACCGACAGACTCTATACCAGCATCATACTTGGCGAAAGATTACTTAATTTACAATGCCATTTAACGGGCACGGTAATGACGAATAGAAAAGAAATACCTTTGTCAATGAAATCACCGAAATTAAGGATTGGGGTGACAGTTGCTTATCGCAAAGAAGAAACATTATTGCTTGCATGGCGCGAGGAACGTGTCGTGTCCATGCTATCAACGGGTGGCACGTCAAGATATCAAATTGTTGGAAATAGAAGAGCTGGGAATAATAAAGCGCGGCCAGTTTTGAAGCCCAGTATATTTCAACGATTTAGCCGACCAGTATACTTCAACATCCCCCCCGTGTCCGCTACCTTGTCGCGGTGGGGGGGCTTCGTGCCCTAATGATCCTCAAGGCTGTGCCAGCGGGGAATTTATTCCCTGGCAGGTTCTAACTAGCTGGAGTGGCTTGAGGTGAGGGGCCTACTAAAGTCGGACACATACCGTAAACCTGTGGTCATGTTTTACAGGAACGGGGGTCTTGCCTTAGCCGGCCGGGCCGCGAGGATGACAACCTCTCTAAAAAATCCCTAGCCCCAAGCAGTGTTGCGCGGTGAAGAGGGCGTAGCTGGAGTAAGCGCCAGCTATGGTTGGTGGGTGCACCAATCGTTAGCGGACAACCCCGTGGTACCTGGCGACCCCCCGGGCGTATTAGCCTTCCCCGGGTATGGCGGCTCTACCCGGGGTGACCTCCTTTTCGACCACACTCGTGGGATTGATTATGGATTCATTTACAAACAAAACTGGAGAGGGGGGTAACGAGCGTGAGGAGGAGGCGTGCGAGGCTATCGTGCGCCTCGAGAGATATGTGGAGCCGGTGTCGCGGGGGCATTCTGCCACACGCGGCGCAAAGAGGCCTGCGGCGGGCCTTGGCGATTGCGATGGGGGGGAGGAGTCGGACTTCTCTGTCTTCTTCCACCACTCGACGCAGAGCGTCCCGGGCACCTCTACGAGGAAACGGGGCCGGCCACCAACGACCAGGGCATACGTTGGCCTCCACGAGGCCAAACGCAAGCAGGCTGAGGCCGACAAAAGCCTCATCGCGGGCATCTTTGACCCGGTTGCTCCGGGGCCGAAGCCCGCGAGATCGGGCGACCCGCTTCCAGACGAAGTGGAGGTCGCTGCGGATTTCCGCAACCGCCCGACGCGAGACGTAGCGGCGGCGGTGATGGAGAGCCTGGGCGACGTCGCCAGGATTTCTGCCGCGACGATGGGGCTAAAGGCCAGCGCGGTCCGATCCCTGCGGGCGGCGGCACTGAGCAGCCGGGTGGGCGTTGCGGAGCTGGCGATCAGGTCAGCTCCCAACGCTACCCGGCTGTTGGAGGCCGAAAATGCTCTGCTGAGGGAGCAGATGGCGGAGCTGCGGGCCGAGGTCGCCCGACTCCGTCAAGCGGTGGAGGTGGGGCCGGCTGTTGCCGGGATGCCTCCGCCGCTGCCCCCTGGGGGGGGGGCACAGGGCTGCTGCCTGTTATCGGCGCTCGGGGGCCCCAGTCCCCTGGGTTTGTGGGCTGTCCCAGCAGACTTACTGGCGCAGATCGGCTCCCTGATCGATGCCAAGCTGGCATCGTTCAGGAGGGAGCTGATTCTGCGGGTGCGGGACCCGCGATCGGTGGCACCTGTGCCATCCGCCCCCCTCTGATGATAGACAAAAGAGCGGGGAAAAAGGGTGGCAATAAGGGAGAGGCTGTGGCCGCTAGGACGGCCCAGGCACAGCCCACTCAAACGCGGGCCGCCCCTGCTGATGCGACGCCTTCCACCACGCCTCCAGTGCCTGAGGTGTGGTCCAAGGTGGTTGGCCGGAAGGCCAAAAGGGCGGCTGCCGCGGTAAAATTCGCGGCAGCTGCCAAGGTTGCTCCGACAGGGAGGGCGGCCAAACGGGTGGCACCGGCTGCCCCCGGGAGGGCTCCCCTGCCGCCGCGTCCGCCCCGTACGGCTGCC